AGCAGGATATCAACTGTCTTAGTAGGCAACAGATAAATATTTAAATATATATATATATATAATATATGTATATACTTATTTGCATTAGATGCAAGTGCCATTGTCTTGAGGCTCTCTATTGCCAAGAATTTCAAATATATTTCTTTGTCATTGCCAACCATAAAACTTTAACGCTACAAAGACGCTGTCAGTTAGCAAATTTTAGATGTTGCGGAATAATAGAGGGACATTTTTGCATTTTTACATATGTATGTACACTAGGGTGATCCAAAAATGCAAGTGAAAAAGTAAAGTCGCAAATTTTATGCCTCAGGCCCTAGGATTGTTCTATACCGAAACAAATATACCCTTTTTTATCGCAACTATAATTTATAGGTCCGTCAAAAAAAATGGTTAAATCAACAATTGGGTATTATTACTGAAAGTCTCCTGAAGAGAAACAGAGTTTTCCGATCGAAAAATATTGATTTTCAAGAATTCTATACCATTTCTACGAAAAAGTTTATTTTTCCCATATAAAAATACATGGAAAACTTTGAGCGCTTTGAGCGACCTCTAAATTTTTTTTGATTTCAAAATAAAAAAAATAGGCGTATACTTTTTTCGATATAGAACAATCCTAGGGGGTGAGAGCATTACAATTCTGACTTTACTGTTTTTGGAGCACCCTAATGAACACGCATACATACATAAATACTTACATATGTATGCGTATATACCCACCTAGCATTCGGAAGATTAATTTAATAAAAATCACCTTGCTGAGCCTTCTTCGATCAACTTTGATGATTGAAAACTGATAAATCGTTTTCGCGGTAAAAAAAAAAACTCGAAAATGACTCTCCTTACGCTTGAATTGATTTATTGAAAATATAAAAGCAAAATGTAGGGCAATCACAAATTTGAATTCACGGTGGCAACCCTCCTACATTTAGTTTAGAATTAGAATTTCCACAACGGGGGTTTGAACTCGTTCTCTGTTATCGATATTAAATTAATATTTTTCCTTCTTGTTTGTTCTTGTCTATGTTTTATTTCAAAGTAGACAGCATTTTTGGCCATTTCACCCACTCCATGCCCCCTTATTGCCTGAACCCAATAGATGTCGGCCAACAGACCTCGCATTCGCATTCAGGGCGTCGAATAACATAGAGAAATAGAGGTTTGGTTCAATATGCAGAAACCTTTTTTTTTCTGTAAACCTGTGTTATTGGCGTGTAATTTGCTATTTAAGAATTTATTTGTTAAATTTTTTTCCTTTTGTTATCTTCCAAATTAAAACACGCCTTACTTTGGTTTTACTATTTATTTTCTCCCAATTCATATGGACTTTATGTAGCTACACATATAACTTAGTTTAAATAACAATGTTATGCTCCGCTTCTACTCAAATTAGTATTCTCTGTATCTCTTATGAGCCTTAAATCTTCGTTAATATTTACAAAATACGTAGGAATGTTACCACGCCCTTTTACATAAGTTTCACCTCTGTAAATGCAGTGAACTTGATAGGATTCTAAAATGCGCGCAGATTCCTCAGTGACTTGGATTGAGTCCGGTGTTCCGGTCGAGTCCATGCGAGAAGCCATATTCACAGCATTGCCCCATACGTCGTAAAATGGCTTATACAAACCAACCACACCAGCCATTACAGGACCGTTCGATATGCCTGTAAAAGATAAAATGTGTATAAAGTCAATTTCAGTAGGCAAAACTAAGAATGCGCATCTCACCAATACGCAAGGCACCTATCCTACGGCTTTTCTCTTCGTTTTGTACTCGGCTCTCCATGTTAAAAGCTCTCATTGCGCGCAATAGATCCAAGGCGAAGCACATCATGACATAAACCACATCATTCCCACAACTGAACTTGTCATTCATTTTAAAGTCGCTACTGCGAAAGGAAGGCGAGCGGTCATCGTCCGACAAACGAAACCCGCTTGCTGTCAAAAATTAAGCCAAAATCGATATCTCAATGAGAATAATTTCAGGATATAAATTTGATTAAAACCTACCGCTCTGATATTAATAAGGAAAAATTAAAAAAACTCACGCAGATATTCCTTAGATTCTTGCGACCGCAACGCGTCTGGGTTACTTGCACTCAGACCACATGCGGCCATATATGTCCAACCGGCCACTTTAATTTTTTCAATCTTATTGATACCCTGGTATGTGCC